CTAATCTGGGAATGATTGGCCAGTGGGACATTTTAGATTTGGCCCAAACACCTTAGCTAGAACACCGGGTAAATGCACCATCCACAGATAAGTCAATTAGAAATCAATGAAACAAAAGACTAGAAAAAGAAGTTGGACTGGAGAGATGGCCCTGGGGTCTCTGAAGTCACCTGCACTCATACATGCTCGCACATATGCACACACACACACACACACACACACACACACACACACACACACAATTTAAAATGATGGATAACTGAACACATTTTATGTAGGTCCCAGCTCCAACGGTGAGCTCTTATCATGAAGACACAGAGTGGTGAGAGGCTAAGCCAATTTCCTCTCTAGAGTGTCTGTCAAAATCCTTCCTGAAGCCTTGAGTGGGAAGATGAAGTTGAAAGCTCTTTTGTTTTCCAGACACATATTTCAGTTATAGAATGCTGGGTGTAGCAAAAGTAGGGAGAGAATGATAAATGCACACCAAAAATGGAGGGCTTTGTTGGTGAAAATGTATCAGAAAAAAAAAGCAATACAAAGCTTAGAAGAAAGATGGTATAATTAAATTGTAGCGCTTAATCGTAGACAATAACTTGACTGCCAATCCAATTAATTGGTTCCATTATATAATTTCATAGCATCCTCTGTGTGTGAGATAAATAGCAATCATTGCAACAGCAAAAATAGGATATTACAGATGTGGTGTCAGTAGAGAAGGGGAAGTGACCGGACTAGAAAATACATATTGACAGTCGCCACGAAGATAAATAGAACCTGAGAGAAGATGCACAGGCCGTTCAGGGTGCTGGATAAAGAAAAATCATTCTATCGATAGATAAAAACCTCCTAGGAACCACTTGCAAATAGATTTTTCAGCAATTTTCTACCAAGGACATGCAGGCCATTTATTAGAAAGAGAAAGAATCTGAGGGAAAAACACGAATTGTCAGAATGACTCTAAATAAGTCAAGGACCTAGGCCAAGGCTCAGTTTGTTTTAAATAAACACACTATGGCCGGAATTCCCACAGCTTGGGCCTAAGACACTTTACCTGATTTAATTATCCCATGAATGCAGTCTAGATTGTTTTTAGGGGCTACCTATTTAGTCATTACCAATTTTTATCTTCAGCTGTGCCAACCTTTTTAATGACGTGATTCTGAGCAATTTATTCTGCTAGTTAACACCACGCTGTTCGTTAAAGATGTATCACTCCACCCTGTTGAAACTCTGAGCTTATCACAGGACTTCATAAAGATGATGCAGTAACATAGGACACTGGCTAAGCTGACATATGTGTATCTGCTTGCACACATGTGTATCTGCTTATATTACATGTGTATGGACATATAGGCAAGCGTTCACATACTGCATCTATAATGCTGGGGGCTGGAGTGAACCAAAGCTTTCCCTGAGGTCCTGTCATGTGGAAAAGAAACACAGTTTCTCTTCTAAAAGGAGGAATGTGCTTGGCAATGTCAAGAAAGGCCTGGGGCTGGGCTATGGAGTAACTGCTTATATCCCGAGAACCCAACTTTCTCTCTAAATTCCAAGACTACTATGTGCTAGGTCTCTGATGCTCCTTAGATATTATTTGTTCCTCTTGTGAAATATTGTTCCATGAGCTTCCCACTGACTTCTCACATGTATGATAGTATCTGCTGACTGTATCCCATTTTGCCCCTGGAAGTAGTATACGAGATGTTTTACTTCTTAATAAACTTGCTTACATGAGCCATCAGTTTGTACAAGACCTCCCGATCCCAAACATCACTGTCTTCTTTATTTTCTCATCTCCTGTCCCTCCCACTTAGGATTCTATCACCGAAGAAGGACAGACTGGTCCAGGTCAACCTACGTGGCTTCTTGTGTCTACACTCCAAAGCATACATAAGGAATGCTATGTGCAGATTCTGATCTAAGCAGGGTCAAAATCAGGAAAGCTGTGAGAAGTCTAATGGTTTTGATGAGCTCCTTCCAGTCATGAGACACCAAAAGGACTTAAAAGAAACTCTGTGTTCCACACCTTCGCCAAGATTGAATGTATCCTTCAGTGTTCATCCTGAGCCTCTGTGGATTGATCCGTCTGGGGGATGAATAATTAAATGACAAAAATATTTGTTTGTGTGGTGAGCTAAACATTCACAAAACTAGAAAAGATACCTGAAATAAAATTGGACTTTGGGATCCAGTTCTGGGACAGGATGCTCATGATGCTCTCTAGGCTGTGGTGATGATTCAAGCAATGAACATCCAGTGACTTTTGGTGGGGTGTACTCATTCCCCAGTGGAGAAATTTCTACCCCTACACAGACTCCTGGTTCTTCATCTGGCCACCAAACCTAGGAAGATGTCAAATTAACCTTGAAAGTCAGAGTGGCCACCAGATGGCAACCTGGGAGACACAAGAAACTATTTTCTGGCCATTTCCATGAGAGTACAAGGGACATGTTTATTTTTAGCCAGAATACATCCACCTGGAGCAACTTATTTACATAGGGGACTGTGCTTGAATCCAAACTGAACGATCAAATATCTATCTCTCTGTTTGGGCACAATCGATACCTATGGAGCTAGCAGAAGCAAATATTCAGACAACCACCTTTTCCAGACAGTTTCTCCTAAGAGAAAGAAAGTAGTAGTTAGGTGAGGCCTGAGATTACCCCTTAAATCTCACACTGTCATCTGGCATTCTGGTGACCATGGTGCTGAACCATAGGCTACAATTTTTCTAAGGAGAGGGTAAGAACCTAAATGGAGACTTCTGTTGTGCCCCATTCTTATGTGAATGATTAGCCAGTTATGGGACAGCTAAAACCACCTAGGTCCAAGAAGAGAAAACAGGCTAGACAGGGGTGGGGGGCATAGGGAAGTGGTCAAAGGTAACAGGCAACAAGCAAGACCGTTGGGAGACGGCACCCTGAAGTGCACTCCTGGTGGGGGTCTATACAATGATCACAAATAAACAGGATGGGACCATAGTTCAAGGTAAGCAAAGGTGAAGACGACTCTGAGGTAGCAAGAGCCAGGAAACCTGAGCTGTCCTTTGAGACAATACGGGAGGTAGAAAACATCATTATGTTGAGTAAAATAAATGTATCACAAACATCTAAGTGTCATGGGATCTTATTTCCATGGGAAATATAAAGGTTATTCCATAAAATAAGGGTAGAACATTCATAAAAGTTTGAGAGGAATTTGAGGGATGGGGTGACGGGATGGGTGTGATCACAGGGCACAAGTTAGGGTCTCACAGACGCAAACACTAGTGTGCTTTACACAGCAGGTGACTATAGATAGTGTCAGCGGGGCACACATTTCGTACAGCTGGAAGGAATGCTATGTTTGCAGAGGTAAATACAGTTGACCTGGCTTAAAGATTACACAATGTGTATAAGCATTAAAACATTGCATGTTATTTCATTAATATTCTTGCTTTCATAATTTATATTTCAGCTTTTAAAATAAGTTTACTTTGAAAGAGTATTAGAAGAAAGACTATTTTAATACCCTAAATTAGACCATCCATTGTAGAATATGCAAAATTATAATCAATTCACTATATCCTACAGATAAATAAGAATGAGGAGATCAGAGCCACAGGCAACAGTATAAAAGGTATTCCCAGATAACATTCAGCAATGGAAAGGACACAGAAACACATGTTGCATGCTTCCACTCAGTGGAAGTTAAAAGCCAGTTTGGCTTAGAAATGGGTAGTGTTCACTTATGAAGCATAGGGTGGAGATGAGAGGGCGGGGACTGGAGGTGGGACAGGAAAAGTTGCCGGAGAGTCCATGAGAGACCATCCCTTCCTCATCTGCTTCCGTGAATGTGCTCACTGTTCAAATACCCACCGAGCCACACATTTATGATTTGCATATTTTTCTAAATGACTTTTATCCGGCAGCATAAGAGTTTGTCGTTGGGTTGTTTTGTTTTCGTTTTTTTACATAGGAAACAAATCAACGGTGTTTCTGCTATGCAAAGCTCTGTCAACATGAATGTCAGAATGATCATTTGGGCTGGAGAGGTGTCTCAGTGGTCAGGAGCACTGAACAATCTTCAAAGGACCAGGGCCTGATTCCCAACGCCCACATGGCTGCTCACAACCATGTGTAGCTCCGGTTCTAGGGGAACCCAACGCCCTGCACTCTCTTCTGGCCTCTGTAGACTCCAGACATGCATAAGGCACACAGACATACATGCAGGCAAAACATCCATGCACATAAAATAAAATAGTAAAAAGTTTTTAAAAATTAGGTTATCAGTGTTATAAATCTGTGAAATAGATAAGATCAAGGAGTTTATATTCAAAACAGGAAAAGAACAATAGTCCATTTGGGATCAATTAGAGCATCAGCTGACCATTCCAAAACTAGAAAGACACAGAGAAAGAAAGAGAGAAAGAGAGAGAGAGAGAGAGAGAGAGAATCTTGCCTTTCTTATTTTTATTAATGATTTTCAAATAGCTGACGTAGGAGCATTAATGCTGAAGCAGCCCACAGGTTCCTGTGCTGACCGCCAATGCATGGGGCACAGTGAAGATGAAAGAGGAAATAAACCCATCCTCAGGATACACTCAGCCATGTTCAGCACGTGGAAAACAGACAGGACTAGTGGTCTGATTTTAAAATTGTCACAGGAAGGGTAAGACCAGTGTGGAAACTCAAGGGTTATATAAGTCAAATTAATCTGTGGTCTCATTTGAGTATGGATCCAAACATATCAATTATTAAACAATAGAACTAGATAATCCAGAACCTTTAACACGGTGTGGATCTTAGAACCCATCAAAGGCTGGTCAATATACGGCAGCTCTGCTTTCTTTGAAATCATTATTGATGTGAAATATTTGCTGATGATGAAATAGCATTAGAGGGGGGTGGTGGTTTGTGAAACACCGGGAGCCGTCATGCCATGTCATCCCTCGCCATGCTTCCGTGTGCTCACGGTGGCTCACTTTTGAGAGCGTTTGGTGTTTTATACCAAAAACTTACCCCATCCTTAGCCTTCACCAGCAGATCAAAGGTGCCTGGATCCCTTTCCCTGTCGATGTCCTGTGACACACAGATGCGCCCATCCTGCGGGTCGATCTGGAACGCTGAGGGTGCTTCATAGCTTTGGAAGCCGTCGTAAAGAGAATACTCGACTAAGCCATAGAGCCCCGCATCTGCGTCCGTGGCTGTTACCTATAAGACAGGAGGAAGGTCAGAGAGGCCACAGACACGCCAGAGATACTTTGTAAGTAATCATGACTCAGCGAGCTCTGCCCAGTCGGTTAGTCCCCAAGGCTGCTCAGAAGCAGAGCTTTGGATTAGCTCTCTTCGCTCCAGCTTTCTGCCTGTCCAGTCTCCAGCTTTTCTTCTCTCTCTCTGGAGAATTCTCCTTCTCACTTTCTTAGTCCAATTAAAAGACTTAGATCTGCTGTGGGAGCACATTCTGCTCCTTTAGCCAATAGCATTTAAGATACCGCCCACTTGGGCGTGGCCTCATACTGTAACTGCAGCTATAAAGCATGCATCTGCTCTCTTTCTCCCAGCTCTCGCTTCTGGCTGCTAGACTCTGTTCTTGTTCGTGCAGAGTACTGTTATCTAGGACACTGATTTGTAAGTTTCCCACTAAACAAATAACCCTTTATTATTTATAATTTTGAACTGGTGTAGGATTATTTTGTGACTTCTGCCTTCAGAGGTTTGAGGTCCCACAGGCTTTTATTTCCTCCCTGAGTGGCCTTGTCTAATCACAAGGATTCATAAGCGTTCATATAGCTATAAAATCCTAGAGTTTCCCTCAATGTGGCAACCCACTCTGAAAGCAACAGCTTGACACAAACAAAAGAGCTGGACGGATCTCCATCCCACACTTCCCAGATGATGTCCATCCCACGCTTCCCAGATGATGTTCCACACCACACTCCACAGATGATGTCCATCCCACACTTCCCAGACGATACTCCATCCATCCCACACTCCACAGATGATGTCCATCCCACACTTCCCAGACGATACTCCATCCATCCCACACTTCCCAGATGATGTCCATCCCACGTTTCCCAGATGATGCTCCATCCATCTCACACTTCCCAGATGATGTCCATCCCACATTTCCCAGATGATGCTCCATCCATCCCACACTTCCCAGATGATACTCCATCCTTCCCACACTTCCCAGATGATGTCCATCCCACACTTCCCAGATGACGCTCCATCTCACACTTCCCAGATGATACTCCATCCATCCCACACTTCCCAGATGATGCTCCTCTGTTCCCCAGATTCAATGACCAATTCACCACCAGCCTACCCCTACAACATAGTGGATTGAGTAGATAACTGGAATGTGACATTACGTGTGTTTGGAAAGCATAATTTAGTGTTTTTCACAGGAATCCAGCATCTGGCATCTGACATTTTGGGAAACATCCTACCTAAAACTCATAGGACAGAATTCGAGACAATGGGCTACCTGGCCGTCCACATCACTGATACCCAAGTGCAGATGAAACTTTCTTTCCTTCTTCTGTGTGTCTTCTATCTTCACATCACCTGTCTCACACTTTCTGACAAAATAAATCATCCCCTGAAACCAGCTAACATATCTGTAAGTTACTCTTTTCATGAGCTGGTAGGAACCAGAAAAATCACAAATTTCCCTGCTACAGGGGAGTCATGTCCATATCCACTTGGTCTGTTCCACACTGATGGCTTTTAATAACTGAGTAACCACTGGTTCCCAAAGACAACAAATACATCCTCTAAAGCCATGTGGTCTCCTCAATAAGGTTGGCTGCATTAAAAGATCAATTCAACAAAATAAATTCTAAAACCCATCTTCAACCTTTAATAGCTTGTATAACTCAGTATTTGGCTCATATGAAAACACGTCCCCTGTTTCCACTTTAGGGGGATTTGGGGCAGAGAAAAATATAAGGGATCGAAAGTCAGAAAAAGTACCCATCTCAGTTTGTGCTGATGGTTCAGAGTCTGAGCTCACACCCATAAAATGAGAGTGTGCACCCCTCTGCTGTTCACCAACTCTCCAGAAATACTTACCTCCTTTCTAGCAACATAACCCACCTCCTGGTATAATGGATTTTGGATGCCTAGAATTAATTTAGAATTCTTATGGGGCTTACAAAGCCCAGTACCCATTTGTTGCCCAAAACAAACAAACAAGCAAATGAGTAGGCACTTGGGAAAACAGAAAGCAAAAACACCTCAGAAAGAAACCTTGATGAGTTAGGAAGCTGGGCCCCTGGCCTCTCTAGCGCCCCCTGCTGATGTCAATGGCTGTGGGTCCCAAGGAAAGCACCAACTCGCAGACTGAGCAGAAAGCTTAGAAGACAAGGCAGGATGCATCTCCAACACCCCCCCCCCCCCCCCCCCCCCCCCCCCTTGAGCTGACCCCAGCACACTCAGGCTCCTCCCCGCCCCAGTGCCGCCTCACTCACCTCCTCCACACTCGAAGTTGACAGGCTTACTTTAAATTCATTCATAGCTATTCTCATTGCGTTTGATTTTACACAAGTTTAATCAAGACGTTAAGGAACTTGCAAATTATTCATACGATGTTGAGTGCCCTTCTCTTGTGATTAGCTTCCTGAGAGCTAGAGAATCCTTATCACCCTCCTTATATTAATGTTGTGTAAGGATTCCTTCCCTAGGAATGTGTCCTGCGGAGGATTGGAGAGCGTGGCCCTCAGGAATTTGGGCTGAGAGAGGGCTTGAAAGTGGGAATGCACCCACACATGCTCCTGCAGGTCAATGTGAGTTTTATTATCCCCCTTTCTTCATATTCTTCTTCCATTTCAGTCAACGTGCTTGAGAACACAGTTTGCTTTCAGAGGATGCACCTATGGTCTTTGGAAGCCTGAGAGTTCTCAGTTATCAGCAGCTGCAAGAATGGCCCTATGTGCATGTCAGGACGTAGACAGACCCCTTCAGTGTGAGAAGGTCTGCTTTCTAACATCAGTGGCCAAACTCACGAGGGGTCACAGTCTTAGTCATTTATATTAGCAAAAGGTGAACATTCTCGTCGGTAGTATTAACTCTTTACCTGCTCATTTTAATGTGTGAAGGTTTTAGGAAATCCCCAGAGTCCCTTATTGGGGGGTAGGGGTTTCAGGGGGAAAAGGGGAAAAGCTTTAGGTAACAAGTTTAGTTAAAATTTAAAAGTAAATAACTCACCCTTTTTTCTAACAATGTACAACATCACTTCCATGGGCATACAGCAATTTTTTTTTAAGAAACAAAGATCCTAATAGATAGTACACATGCATCCACAGAACTTCAAACAGAAAAGACAAAAGAAATCACAAATTCTTATATTTGAAGCACTCAGCTATCTACTGATGCTACATCTGAAACAAGACAGTATTATGCCAGTGGAATTTGGATCTAACATTGAGAACCCCAGCGTTGTAAGACTGTGGCTCTCTGAACACAGTTTTGGCAGGTTCACTAACAATTCTGCCTTGCCAAGTCTTTGAAAGCAATGGTATCAGTTTCCTCTCTTAGGTTCTGAGTCATCCATCAGTCATAACTAATCATCATACACCATCGGAACATGTTTCTTACAGTCTGGTGCTCTCTTGTCTCCTCCCCAAAGAATGTGCCTCAGTTTCCTGGCTGGTTCTGGGGATTCTTTAAGTTCTGGAGTAAATGCTTACTTACTGGGGCTGCTTCTCTGTTCTGTTATTGACTATTTAGAATGCTGATCCCAAAAATCATGTTAATGTCTTTATCCTGTAGGATTTGGTAAATATTATTTTATAGGACCAAAGAACAGTCACCTTATATGACCTGAGTGGTGGGCCTTAGATATGGTGACAAGTGTCTTGCGGGAGAGGCAGAAGCAGACCCCAGACAAAAGAGGCTGTGGTGATGCCATCCAAGTCAGATAGCTCCAGACGCAGGGATACAGAGAAGAGTCTTCCTAGGCCCCTCGGAAGAACAAGGCCCTGTCAGGACCAGAGCTTGTCATCACCAGGACTGTGACATGTCATGGTACAGATTCTGATTTGTTTATTGATGACCTTGTTGCTTCTCTGCTAGAATTTAAGCCCAGCGGCCTATGTGACGTTTTCCTCGCTGAGTGCTGCTTCTTTAGCTAACATGACAGTGGCCATGAGCTGCCCAGTGTAGAGTCTGGGAACTGAACGTGGGCCTGCCATAAGAGTAGTACATGTTCTTAACCACTGAGCCATCTCACCAGCAGCCAAGTTTTCAATCCTACAACAGTTTATTCGTCAATATACAGACTACAGATTAAAGCCCAAAAGTTTTTGTTCAAAGCTATCACAATGTTACAATTAAAAAGCCAGGCAAAAGACAAGAAAAGTCCCAAGGTATATGGAAGAGATAGGAGACAGGACACATTTTGACATGCTTTTAAGCTGTATTTTCAGAAATGTTGATACTAGCTATCAGATTGGATCAATTGGATATATATGCTGAGGTCACAGGCAAGAAATTATTATGACAAGTTTTATTACCTTAAATGTAGGATGAAATTAATTCTACCAATTCTATGGCTTATCAATTGTCCTGTGCCCCACTTCCCAAGATGCAACCTGAACAAATGGGGCAGGAGGGAGACACGTCCTGTGCTGTGCCGCCAGACAGTGAAAACAACACTGTCTATAAAAAGAACTGGCAGGCAGATCAATGAACCCAAAAGCAAGGTCTCCAACAGATCCTGGTAAGACTGGGTTTTTTTTGTACAATTACAAAGGAAACCACTAAAGCATTTGGGGTTATCCACATAATTGCTAGAAAAATTGGCAAAGTATATGGAGGGAAAAAAATCAAGTTTGATATTATCCTCATGCTGAAACAAATTCTACACAGATGTTAAATGCAAATAATGACATCATTTAAAGCATAAATATATATTTGGCTTGGCCTTAGCACTAGAGAGAAATTTGGAGGTAAAAGGGGATTTCAAAACTAAACAAAACAATAGACAAATATCACAAAGGAAAAAGTCAAAACAATTATTACACATATAGTAAGTATTAAACTCTGCTTTGCACACGAAAGTCTAAAGGTAAATCATGTATGGTATCCACAATGTGCACAAATGCACACACAAAATCAAAGAAAAACTAAATGTTAGAAAATCCATGGAAATAAATGATTTTGTGTGTATTTCAGTATTTTTCTAACTTTTCAAAACTAAAAATAATTTC